TGTACAACTCAGAAACCATGGTAAACACTTGGTGAACTTGTGGCATTTTAAAACAAAAACCAAGTCCACAGTTTCTTTCTTTGTTACTGTTTTATTTTTCTGTCTTGTTACTCTCTTTATATTTCAGAATTCTTTTTCATACACAGACCAAGAGGAAGTTCAGCATGTAATTGGTAAAACTACTTCCAATGGCTTATTTTATAAAATAGAAGAAAATAGACTTCACAGAGCTTTCAAGCACTTCCTGCTTGACAGGTTTTTCTCTTCTTGAGTTCTACTATCTTCAACTCCTTACAGACAGAGACAAAACTGCCTCTAAGGGCAATAATCATTTGAGCAGCATTGAAAATGTTATAGAAGCAGCGGAGCCACTTAAAGTCTTTGCATCAAGAACCTGAAACAAACTTTACTGGCAATTGATAATGAACCCAGTATCTTCCTCACCATGATCCACTATCTCATTTAGCCGAAGCCTTGCCACTTACTTCCTTTCGTCATGAGCCACTCTGCATCCTGAAGCAAAAAGAGTGAATAAATCAGACTATTATAAAATTATAGATTTGAGGCCATCATTTTCTTTCTTTAGTGTTTATTGTAAAGATGCTGTACAGTGGGGTCACAGTTGCATAAGTAAGGTACTTTCTTTAGTTTTTTGTAAGCAATGATACTATTCTAGTGATTCATTTTCAACCACAGATAAATTACCACCATTGAGAATCTAGTTACATTGTAACAGTAACTCCTGGTTGGATGATAAAAAAGCAGCCTGATTACTCTAAGATAGACAGGAATAAGAGCATAAACAAAGGAAATTTCATGACCACCTTCAGGTACTTAGAAGCAATGGAACATTCAGTGACTCTTCTATTCAAATTAAATTCATTCTACTCAGGAAAACTCAAAGCTGCTACTGAAAAAAGAAATCCTTTGAATTATTTTCAACATGTAAGAATATTTTGCATGCTATTACTGAAATTAGTCAAACATGGCCATATCATGCAATGTCTATTATAAAATGGTTAGAGTGGGTTCAGTTTTAAAGGAAATTTTTCAATAAAAAGTCTGAGTTGTGCCTATATTATTTCATATGCCAGTCTAATTAGTTCACTGTTCATGCCAACTAAAGTAATGTGCCAAAAAGCCTAAAAGCACTCAAAAGAAGGAAGCTAGCCTAGAGAATAGAAACAAGTATTAACCTTTTTTAAGCTGGGGGTTGGGAGAGTGGGAGTGAAGGTGGCCCAGACAGTAGAATTCTTGCCCAACATGTACAACACCCTGAATTTATTCCCCAGCATATATACACACATATATATATGTTGGTGGTGGTGGTGGTGGTGGTCATGGAGCTTGAACTCTAGGCCTGGGCACTATCCCTCAGCTCTTCAGCTCAAGGCAAGTTCTCTACCACTTGAGCCACAGAGCCACTTCTGGTTTTCTGGTGGTTAATTGGAGATAAGAATCTCCTGGACTTTCCTGCCTGGGCTGGCTTTGAACTGAGATCCTTAGATCTCAGCCTCCTGAGTAGCTAGGATTATAGGCATGAGCCATTGGCACCCAGCGGTACATAAATTTTTTAAAGTCCAAAAGAAGAAAATAATCCAATATTAGAATAAAGAAGTAAATTTTGAAGAAGTAAATTTCACATATCCTACTGAGAAACAATATGTACCAATAATATTTCAATTGTTTTCACTAGGTTACTTTTCAGTTTTAGTCTTTTAACTTCATAGTATTTTTCCTAAGTCAAATTTCAAATATGTTATTAGGAAATTCAAGGACTTCCAGCACTATAATCTATTTTCTTTAGGTAATATTAATGATATTTTAGTATGTAAAAAGAATCCAATAACATCTCAGATATGTAAAATCATGAAAAACTCCCAGTGACATAATGTTATCCCAAGATGCATAAAGTCTTTAACAACCACATGGAAATGGTTAGGTCTGCCCCGGGGGGAACAGCCCCCTTTCCCCTCCTCCTCTTCATGGAAGACAGCACATAGCCTTACCAGAAATCACCTACCGGAAACTGGTAGTCACCTGTAACTGTCAGTCACCTGATTGTGAGTCAGCAAAAGGACCCTAGGTCCTGAGGTCACTTCGTTATCTGCCATGACCACACCTCCTTCTCTCCTTTCCCTATATAATCTTTCTCTATATAGTTGAGCTGCTACACGCTACACACTACAGCCTAGAGTGTGGTTTGGTTCTACCTGAATCACTTGGCAGTCTCCTTTTGGCAACCCTACATCTGATGTCGACTCTGGAAGGGATACGGTGTTGCTGGATCCCTTCTTTTCTCTCCAAGGGCCAATCTGCCTCCTGGCCTTGAATCCTCTTTGAACCCAAACTGCCAAAGGAACCCCATGTTGAAATCTCTCACCTTTACTATTGCTAGCCACACATTTACTACACCACCTCCCATCTACAGGCCCTCTGTTCATCCGTCTCCCTTTCAACATGGCAGCACACCAGAGGGATTCCCTATGCTTTTTGGCCAGTCTCTTCATTTGGGGGAGGCCTGGATGGAGAATTTGACTCTCAGCCAGAGACCTCAGTTGGTATGGGATGCCTTCCACCTGTTGTCTCCTCCTATGTCCTCACACGCTCCCTCTGCATCCCTTATGGACCCCCTCTCAAGTCCTCATGGACTCCTCCCTCTACCTCCTCATGGACTCCTCCCCTCTAGATCCTTGCAGATTCCCTCTACATTTTTATTAACTATATAATTTTTATTCTAATAATACTGTACAGAGGGGTTACAGTTACATGAGTCAGGTAATGAGTCCATTTCCTATCGAGCATTGTTAAGCCCTCTGTTGTTTTCCCCCTACCATCCCTTCTCTTCCCACCTCCCCAACTCCTCCCCACCCCTGGCCAAGTTGTGGTTTGTTCTCAACATAGTGTCTTGTACATTCCATTGTTATAATGGGTCAACCTGCATCCGTATTTCAGCATTTCGTTATTTCCTTTCCCCTCCCCAAATTAGAAAAATGTTTATACAAACAAGAGCACTGGAATCAATTACAGGGGTGAAAACAGGGGTTATACCATGGGGGAAGAACGGATCCCATCTACATCCTCACAGACTCCTCCCTCTACCTCTTCATGACTCCTCCCTTCTACATCTTCACTGGACTCCCTCTAAAGGATTCCATAAGGCCAACTCCAGGACTGCTTGGAACACAAGAGACAGAACTAGCCAAGTCATCCAATTCTTTTTCTCCCTGAACAGATGGCTGCCCTTCTTTCTGTCATTTGTGAGCCCTCAAATAGTGGTTTGGTTTTTTTCTTACTGTTTAGTCCTTGCCTTATAAGACTTCTTTCAGATTTCATCCAAAGATGCATACTCAGGTTCACCACCAAGGAACTGTTGTTGACTTCTCCCAGTCCTGATGACATCTTCACTTTTTACCCCTAAAACTGACACCCCTTGCCAGCAGGAAGTAGCTAGAGTGGGTGCCCCTTTGTAACTATCAGAAGGCTAAAATGTTAGGTATGCCCAGAACAGCCCCCTTAACACCCCTACTCTTTGTGAAGGACAGCACATAGCTTTACCAGAAATCATCTGTCCCAAACCAGTGGTCACAAGCAGTTAATCACCTGTCAGTCACCTGACTGAATCAGCAAAAAGGACTGAGGTCACTTGCACATCCATTTCGGCCAAACCGCTTCCTCAACCTTTCCCTATATAACCTCTATCCACCATTAGTCCAGCTGCTACATGATACATGCTGCACACTACACCCTAGAGTGCAGCCTGGAAGTTTGGTTCTCCTAATAAACTCTCTTCTGTCTGAACCCATATGGTAGTCTCCTTTCAGCAACCCTTACAGTAATCTAACCCAGTTCTTCCTGATACAAGAATATAAATTATAAACTAGCTTTATAGTACATTTAATTTTCCAAGATAAAATCTGTAGATGAACCTGTCTATGCAGTTATCTACCTGTAGGATTATTTCCCCTGGGTTTGGATGTCCTCTTCCATGTAGCCATTTCCCTTTTGCAGTTCAATGAATCTTTTCAATCATGCCTCTCCTCTCATTGCCTCTTAAGTCTTGCCAATCACATCACCCTCCTAGCCAAACACCAGCCATTGCTTCCTACCTCAGATTGTAGCTGGCTCTTCAGGAAAAAAGCAATCTAGTAAATGCACAGCAAGGTGGTTCCAAGGGCTAACAGCCTGTTTACTATCTGATCTCTCCCTACTTCTCCAACCTCATCTCATCCCTCACCACTGGACTGTCTCCACCCTTTCAGCCACTATGAACTGCGTTCTCCTAAGTACACACCTGGCACCAATGACTCCTTTCATTTCAACCTGGAGCAGCCTTCACACCCACATATTCCATCTTCCTCTTCACGCTTTGGCATATCTCTATCATTCAGGGCTATTCTTTTCAGTCCATAGTCTTGACATCACATTGCATGGCACCCATAGCTAGGTTTGTTGTTTCATTTATGTATCCTTGCACATATAGAGTTTAGATTATGTGCATGCATCATGTACTAGAGTGTACACCTACCATGGCAAATTAAAAGTATATCACACTCAAAGTTTTTCTATGCCCCTCAGTTGGCTATAAGCTCCTTGAAGACAGAGATATAATTACCAAAATCTATCATAATGCTTAGTTTACAGTAGCTTCTCATAAAATTTTAGTTAATGAGTGGATAGATGGGTAATTGAACTAGCAAGCAATCAAAGCATAGAAAAGCTGTCTTTGTGTGTCTAAATTATAATACATAGGTGGCCACTCCCTGGTTAAAAGTGAGCCATTCTTCATCATCACTTTATTCTGCAGTTGCAGTGAACAGAGTTAGCTACTTAGGTGGATGGAGAGGAAGAAAGAATGTACTGATCCTCTTAACCTAGGAACAAACACTTGAGATATGTAAGGAAAACCTCATTCATTGTCAAAAAAATTACTGGAAAAGGATGGCATCTAAAGGCATTAAAAACCAACCATATCTAGTACATGTGTAAAGGACAATTTATTTATATTTAGAATAAATGTGAAATAACAACATAAAAATAGCAAATTTACAAATATAAAAATACTCAATCCATAAAAAAATACATAAATTTGTCAGTTCTTCTCCACACATGTTCCCTGAGTGTGAATTGTCTGTAATCACTATCAACTAAGAGGCCCCAGGGATACTCTGTGCTTGATGTCCCATTATCTTTTTAAGAGCGTCCAGTCCATTAGCCAGTGGTCCTTCTTTAACCACAATAAGCAATGAAGAATAATAGATATAAACTCATCAGTAACTAAGGCAGGTTGATTGCCTGGTCTTCCTTGAATTTGGGGATCTTCTTAAATTCACTTTGCTTCCTGAAGAAAAGCTGAGCCAAGATGTGGTCTGCAGTGGCTTGGAGATAATCATCCATGTCAAGAGTTTGCAGCTGACAATGTAAACAAAAACATATGTCAGAGACAAGGCACTACATTACCTCCTAGTACTTGGCTAACTATGGATTCCTTCACATGTTCACTCTGGGTGCCATACAGAGCCCATCTTTTTAGCACTCTTTCCTTATTAACTTTCAAAACTCTAACATGTGATTTTGGGATTTGGCTTTTTTCCCTATAAATGCATGGTATGCTGATTTCTGATCTGTTCTTTCAATGGCTGTAGAAAAGATGGCCAGAGGCGTAGCAGTGGCAATAAGAGGGAAAAGACCCAAAGTAGGGGTCCCTGGAATTCTCCAACTAAATCTGCTGCCAGCTTTTGATTCCATCTTTCTGCCCTACAGAGTTTTAACAATCAGGAAGACAAGTGCTGGAATTTTCTAGTTTCCTTCAAAGAAGGTGGGATATCATGCTAGAAAAGGAGTCGTATCAAGCAGAAACTAGTCCACCTTTGGATAGAAGCCATGCTGGAGATACTACTCCACAGCTAATTCTGCAGTCTTTCCTGGAAATCTGGTAAGATCTCCTTGCAGGAAAAATCATATCCAGAAAAACTATATATCTGTTGCTAGACTTGCCCTGGGGATGCCCAAACAAACAGACTATTAAAATACTTGCCATTGGGCTGGGAAGGTGGCTCAGTGGTAGAGTGCTTGCCTTGCATATATAAGGCCCTGAGTTCTATTCCTCAGCACCACATAAGCAAAAGAAGCCGGAAGTGGCTCTGTAGTTCAAGTGGTAGCGCACTAGCCTTGAGCTGAAGAGCTGAAGAACACCGCCCAGACCCAGAGTTCAGGCCCCATGACTGACAAAAAAAATAAAATAAAATCCCTGCCATCAAGACGCTGTACTCATAACTCAACTTACGGAATTATAACTTCTTTGTAAAACTACTTTAACAGTTTTTATGTGTGTGTTTTGTGTTGTTTGTTCTTTGTTTTTTGGATTTTTGGTCATGGGGCTTGAACTCTGGGCCTGGGTGCTGTCCCTCAACTCTTCAGCTCAAGGCTAGCGCTCTACCACTTGAGCCACAGCTCCTCCTCTGACTTTTTCTGTTTATGTGGTGCTGAGGAATCAAACCCTGTGCCTTATACATGCAAGGCAAGCACTCTACCACTGGGCCACCTTCCCAGCCCTAAAAAAAAATTTAAACTAAAATAAACAATCCTTACCATTTCAGAAAGAATCCTGGTCCTCAGGATTTTTGAATACTTAAATTACATAATTTGTTCCCAAAATTCTATCTAATCAATAAATCATAGGATACACTTTTAAAGGCTAAACAATTACTTAATACAATAATTTACTTGAATGTTACAGATATAGATAATCATACATTAAGCTGGGCGCTGGTGGCCCACACCTGTAATCCTAACCACTCAAGAGGCTGAGACCTGAGGATCGAGGTTCAAAGCAAGCCTGGGCAGAAAAGTCTATCAGACTCTAATCTCCAAAAAAAGCTGGGCCCCAGTGGCTCATGCCTGTAATCCTAGCTACTCAGGAGGCTGAGATCTGAGGATCATGGTTCAAAGCCAGCCCAGGCAGGAAAGTTCATGAAACTCTTATCTCCAATTAACCACCAGAAAACCAGAAGTGGCACTGTGGCTCAAGTGGTAGGGTGCTCCCCTCGAGCTGAAGAGCTCAATGACAGCTCCCAGCCAGAGTTCAAGCCCCATGACTGTCAAAAAAAAACTACGAAAAAAGCTAGAAGTGGCACTGTGGCTCAAGTGGTACAGTGCTAGCCTTGAACAAAAAGCAGCTCAGGTACAGTGCCCAGGTCCACGGTTCAAGCCCCAGGATTGGCCAAAAACAATATAGATAGATAAATAGATACATACATACATACATACATACATGCATACATACATACATACATACATACATACATACATACATACATAGGTACATAGGTATAGGTACATAGATTCATAGATATACACACACATATACACACACACACACACACACACACACATACACACACACATTAGATCTTATATAAAAAATGATGAAAGCAATGCTACTCATAAGCCCAAAATGGTTTTTTGTTGTTGTGTTGTTTGTTTTGTTTTGGTGCTAATCCTGGGGCTTGAACTCAGGGCCTGGGCACTCTCCCCGAACTTCTTTTGCACAAGGCTAGCAGTCTACTACTTGAGCCAAGCCACAATTCCACCTCTGGCTTTTTTGGTAGTTTTAGTGGAGATAAGAGTCTCAGACTGTCCTGACTGGGCTGGCTTTGAACTGTGTTCCTCAGATCTCAGCCTCCTGAGTAGCTAGGATTACAATTATGAGCTACCCATGCATCCAGCCCATGTTTTTTAAACATGCAAAAGAAATCCTATCTTCCCTTCTTCCTCCTCTTCCCCTTTTCTCCCCACCTTCTCCTGTCCATTAGGGAGCTGACAAGCCTTCAAAAAGCATATAACTGTTACTTTATGCCATAAGATATGTAAGGGCCTGTCTCAACATGGAGAAATCTATACGAACCTTGAAATCAGTATTAGGATAGCCATTTACCCCAGATACTAGTAACATTCTCTAATATCTGCCTTACTAGTAACTAAAACAACTTCATGGATCCCAGCATACTGATTTTTGTTCAGAATTTGAAGATTAAGAGAAAATATGAAAATGTTGTAAATGGAACCATTTAAACCAAATGGAGAGATAACTTGATTTAATTTTTCACTGTTTCATACAGTTTATTCATTCAATCCTTCATTTAACATACATGTAATGAGAACCCTCATTGATCCAGACATAGGGCATTAGCAAAGTATTTTCAAGATCACTGGCACTCAATATTCTCTTAAATTGACTTATTCCTACCTGATCTCCAGTACTGAAGGCGAGCACAAAGAGCAAATCCTCATCACATGTGTTCTTAATATAATGCTGGGCTCCAGTAGGGAAAAATACCACATCTCCAATATGGATATTAAACTCCATTGTACTCTGTGCACTGACAATGCCTACCTAAGGGGGAATAATAACATCATTAAGGGTGAAGAGCAGGAGCATATGGTTATATAGGGACTTCTTAGTGCAGGGAAAGAGTAGTGAAGGCCATCTTTCATATAAAATCTGTGTCAGAGACAGAGCCCCACAAAACTCAAGATGCTGTAGTTAGCAATACTTTTCAAAATCTATTAGTGAGTTCAATACTCAGAACATCATGGAAAAACAAATGGTATACCAATCAATGCATTTTACATGCACACAAATGCACAAAAGGATAACAAAAAGTCTCATCTTTAAAATGTGTTCTGTGAAGGATTATTACACCCTTCTCTAATTTACCAAAACTGTCACTTCTAAAAACACAGAAAAAAATTCTAAATTACAGAACAAAATTTCATGTACTTTGGTGTTTTCTTCCAAGATTCAGAAAAGTATAGGCCAGAAAATCCTTTTTCATCTCTGTATACTACCTTAAGAGTTCCCCCAGGAAACCCAAGACTGTCTAGAATAAGCACAATAAATTAGTAGATAACTACACTGGCTGGCTTATCATATAAGTGACCATCCAAACCGAGTTCCCTAAAGAGATGTTAATAATTTCACAAGGATAACAAATAGCATCACAGGTCCTGATCATAACTGATGACACACCTCCCAGCTTCCCCTCCCTAATTCATCTAACCATTATTTCACATAAGCCCACCTCCACTTTGCAATGCAAAACTTTGAAAACCTATGTCTACATTCCAGAACCTCTATCACATCACAAATATTCACCACTTCTGATATGTTCTGAGCCTCTTCTCATGAAGATCTGGAATCTTTCTTCATATCAAACTTGGAAATTGTCTAATGGAGTCTGCATAGTCTCCTCTGAAGAAACTGTTCCCAGAAAGCTATTAGGACTATCATTTTTATATTACTAAAAACTGAAGAAACCTCCCAAATAAAGACCAAATAAAATGTTTATTGAGAAATTACCTTCCCACATCCACTTAATACATATCCCATTTCATTTGCATTAAAATGAAAATGCGGCTGTCGTAATCCATTGTTATAAATTCTGAGTGTACTCAAGGCCAGGGCATTTTGATGCTTCAAAAAAAGGAAAAAAGAAATTCAGTAATTTAGCAATTCTGACTTAATATTAAAATAAGTAACATTAGTATTCTACTTGGCAACTTAATAATTTACACAATCATGATCATAATACTTATCAGCTCTACCATATATTTTTCTGCGTCCTTATTAAAAAAATTCATTCCCTACAGGTTGGTAGTATTAATCTCTTCGTGTTACAGGTGATGGAATTAAATTAATTAATCTAAGTCAGTTAAGGAATTTACCTAGGGTATCATAACTAAGAAGTAGAAATAAAACTTGGGGCTGGGAAGGTGGCTCAGTGGTACAGAGCTTGCCTCACAGTATGAGGCCCTGGGTTCGATTCCTCAGCACCCATAAACAGAAAAAGCCAGAAATGGCACTGTGGCTCAAGTGGTACAGCGCTAGCCTTGAGCTTAAGAGTTGAGGGACAGCACCCAGGCTCAGAGTTCAAGCCCCATGGCCAGAGCCCCATGGCCGGGAAAAAAAAAAAAGTAAAACTTGAACCCACAGAATCTGATGCCATACTATGTACTACAGCCAGCTAAGCACAGAAAACAAAAGATTCTCATTAATGACTATCCATGCCAAAGAAGCTGTTACTAAACCCGCAGATATAAAAACACTGATAAAGACCAACCAGTATTTGACTAGATTTTTCCTTTTCCTTTATCCAAAAGAAGGCTAAATCAGATCTAAAAGCTTACTTTCCATCTATCTAAATGCTCATCAAAGGGTTTTTCTCAATTACCTGATGTAGAAATTCACTGAAAATTTTTTCATTGTTACTTAATTCACTTCCATTCTTCCAATATTGTGCCTGTTGTATTACTCCTCCTGGAAATTGATATTCTTTTGAACCTGAATCAGATGAAGTTTTAAAAAATCAAAATAAGACCACATACTTCAAAACTGTACTCCAGGGGAGTATCAGTGAAGTACACAGCTTTTCTCTTCACAGAAAATGTATAGAGTGGGAATTGCTAGCATGGGATCATTCCAGCTCCCACAATACTAACTTGACACAGTTAAGAGTCTTTTCTACCTTTCAAGCTCTTTTTCTAATACAGATTGTCCCCCTTTAGGATATTCTATTCAACTCAGAGAATATGGCTAGAAAATTCTGTAGCCATTCTGTACCTCATCCTTCAAGTCAGCTATCTAGTCCTGTCTATCTCTGATTCCCAGCAATTCTCTCCCTCTTACAACTGCCTTCATCCTTCGTGAGCTCCTGGACTGTGAGAGACTTGATCTGTCTGCTACTATCAGCCACTTCCTTTCTATTCTGTATGATTCAAGGTACAATGATCTTTACTTGAAAAAGCTAAAGATCTTTACTTGTCTCCCTTATTCCTAACTAATTAGTTCCTCTGCCCTCCCATTAAGGTATAGTACAAAAGCAATTTGTCTCTAAACCCTGCAATGATTGGGTCCTTCCTCTCTTATCAGCTTTCTCTGGCAGCATTTCTTAGACATAATACATACCCACCATACTTTGAATACCTTTGTCATTTGCTTTTTTCTTCCTAGACTTTTCTCTTATCACCTACTCTTTGGAGAACTATGCTTTTACTCAATGTTTTCTTGATTGTGGCCCATCATTAAAAAAAAAATCTCACTTAGCAACATCTTATACGGTCATATGTGCATAGCTTTTGAACTTTTCTGCTTGTCTGATAAGATTATCCTAGACATATACTAGTTATTGCAAATAAGAGAAACCATGGGACCTATATTTCTTTGGGCCTGGTTTACTTGACTTAGTATAATTTTTTCCAAGTCTTTCCATCTCCTAACAAATGGGGCAGTGTCATTTCTTTGTTACTGTTGGTAAAGTACTTATAATGTACCATGTGATTTCTTTTGTTTCTTTCGTATCTTCCCCCATGGTATAACCCCTGTTTTCACTGCATTTGATTCCAGTACTCTGCATCTTGTACATTAACATTTTTCTAATTTGGGGAGGGGAAGGGGAATAACAAAATGCTGAAACAAGGATACAGGGTGACCCATTCTAACAATGAAACAAGACACTATGTTGAAAATGAACTTTATAACTTTGGTGGGGAAAGGGAGGAGTTGGGAAGGTGGGGAGGGAAGGGATGGTAGGGGAAAAACAGAGAAGGGGGTAACAATGCTCGAGAGGAAATGCACTCACTACCTTACTCATCTAACTGTAAACCCTCTGTATAGTATCATTACAATAAAAAATTTTTTTTAAAAATCTGCCAATCTAATCTACATATATGCAAATATATCTAGATCTCTAGATCTCTAGATCTTTATCAATACAGCTATAGACATAACTGAACAGTATGAATTGAAAAACACACCATACCTTTAAGGTCAAAAAAGTATCTCCATACAAGGCTATCAGGAGATTGTCCATAACTAACATTTGTAACCAGTTCTGCCAAGTTGGGAGGAAGATTGACTCCTTGATCTTCTGCTTGTTTATGGAATTTTCTAATGAAATCAATTCCACCTTCAGGCTGAAATACATATGAAACCATATACAACATTTAATGAAACATTCTATACACGTTAACAGTAGAAAGAAGAGTAGCATAGCCATCAAGGTTGCCCAGGCAGAAGAGCTAACCAGTTTCCCCTTATGCTTGTGACATGAAAACCCTCTAACTTTTCCATGTTTTTTTTGTTTGTTTTTAGTTTTTTATTTTGTCAATTGTGGGGCCTGAACTCTGGGCCTGGGCGCTGTCCCTCAGCTCTTCAGCTCAATGCTGGTGCTCTACACTTGAGCCACAGTACCACTTCCAGCCTTTTCTGCTTATGTGGTGCTGAGGAATCGAGCCTAGGTCTTTGTGCATGCAAGGCAAGCACTCTACCACTGAGACACCCTCCCAGCCCTGTGTTTTGGTTTTAAATGGGTCTTTTTTTCCTTCAGTCCTGGGGCTTGAACTCTGAGCCTGGGTGCTATCCCTGAACTACTTTTGCTCAAGGCTAGCAGTCTAACACTTGAGTCACAGCTCCACTTCCAGTTTTTTTTTTCTGTGATTAATTGGAGATAAGAGTTTCTCAAGCTTTCCTGCCGAGGCTGACTTCAAACCACAATCCTCAGATCTGAGACTCTGGGTAGCTACGATTATATGCAGCCAACTTAAATGGTTCTTTATAGATAGTACAAACACCTGCACAAACATACATTATTTCTCATGCTTACCAATACTCTCTGTGGTGGAATATTTCTCTAGACCACGAGGAGCCACTACAAGTACATTAATCTCGAAAACTTCCTGTAGAGAGTCCTAAATTTATCATAGAATTCCTCCAGTGCCAATCATGGACCAGCAGCAGTTCTGCCCCATTTGCACTGTGAGCATCCTCACATCACTCTGTAGCCAGTTGTCCCTCAGAGATACTTAGAGATCAAAAGTAGTGATTCTAAGGTCTAACTTGCAGGCTGGTCAGAAAATCATTTTCATGCTTTTGCACAATAGGGTGACCACTGACAATAATATACCATACATGTTAAAAAGCTAGAAGAAATTATTTTAGAAGTTTTCACCATAAAGAACTGATAACAGCTGGGCATCATGGCTCACACCTGTAATCCTAGCTACTCAGGAAGCTGAGAGCTGAGTATCACGGTCCAAAGCCAGCCCAGGCAGGAAAGTTCATGGAACTCTTATCTCTAATAAACCACCAGAAAACTGGAAGTGGCACTCTTGCTAAAGTGGTAGAGTTCTTGCCTTGAGCCAAACAGCTGAGGCACAGCGCCCAGGCGCAGAGTTTAAGCCCCATGACTGACAAAAAAAAAAACAAACCTGATAACTAAGGAGTTAAGTTTAAGTTAATTTAAGCATTATATGATAGATATCAAAACATGCCCATGAATTAGCAAAAATAAATTTTAAAATTCTAAGTACACTTCTTCAGGAAAAGTATGGGAATTGTTTCATGACATTAAGAAAAGATGATTTCAGGATCCTTGTTATCCTCTCCTCTTGTTCATCAATCGGGAAGTGCTCCTCTTCCCCTTTTCCCTCTACTTTATCCTGCTTTCCTAATTAAGTCCTGTCAACTTCTTTGTGAGTTTCCATTTTAGTGGAAAACCTCAAGATGTTTTCTATTATGGATCTCATTATTCTCTGATTTGGGAGACTGGGAAGTGAGTAAAGGATTTCCTCCATTCTCCGCTATTAGGGATCTTCCTTATCCTCTCCTTTCTTTGGTAACATAAGTTTTTGCAAGCTTAGGCAAGAGGTAAAGTTCACAATGTCTGACATGTAGAACTTGCTTTAAAATGGTGCCAAATAGATAAGAAAATAAGGTAATAGTATTGAGTCAACTAAGTAAAATATAAAGTCTCTGAAAATATCATCCATACATAGGTTTTTCTACATAGTATTTATTTTTCAGTTTTACCTAGATGTTTAAAACATAACTATTAGTCCCATCAGGCATTTAGAATGTCCTTATTCTAAAGCTTCTCATTGGATATGAGTGTCCTGGTTTATTTCTTCCTATATATTTTCTCTCATCAAAAAGTGAACTTGCCGGGCGCTGGTGGCTCACGCCTGTAATCCTAGCTACTCAGGAGGCTGAGATCTGAGGATCGTGGTTCAAAGCCAGCCCGGGCAGGAAAAACCGTGAGACTCCTATCTCCAATAAACCACCAGAAAACCGGAAGTGGCGCTGTAGCTCAAGTGGTAGAGCGCTCGCCTTGAGCTGAAGAGCTGAGGGACA